GGGGGGGGGGGCAGCCTGGGGGGCGACTAAGGGTCCCAAAAAGGGTGTTCCAGGCCAACTAGGATGATGGGGACAACAGATTGGAGTTCCACAGGTTCCCAGAACCTGTTTGGTGCACAAAAAGTCTGGCTGACTCAACCTGACAGAAATCACTGTCAAGAAATGAACAAAATTGGCTTGCTGAAAAATCAACAGAAATCACTGTCAAAAATAAATAAAAAAATTAGTTCACCTTAGCTAACTAATAGTAGTAAAACTGCCCTGGCCAATTTCACTTGCATCCACAGTGAATTTGGTAAGTTCTATTAGGCCCCCTTCAACAAAGCCAAGACACTTCAAGTAGTATAGAACTGACTTCAAGAAGCCACAAGTCAAGTACTGTTTGGCGAGGGTCAGTATTTGACTCATCACTACCACACCACCCTAACCACCCAACCTAAATATTACTCATAAAAATATCCCGGGCAACGCCGGGTAACCCAGCTTGTTAATAATACATTTGAAGCATCCCTTTTCGGTTCTCATAACTACAAATTGGGTAAAACTTCTCAAATCATTAGGATTTTTCATCGTGAGTTTAAGCTACTCCTGCTTGTGTGAAGTGATTTTTAATCTGATGTTAGGAGCATGAATCAGAGATTCTTCATAGCCCCAGAACTGTCACGTTTGATTAGATTATTTCAGTTTTTGCTCTTGATATTATGGTGCAAAAGTAATAATCTGAAGAGCTGAATGGGCAAAGTGTAGTTAAAAGTGAATCCTTGCAGCTCCCTGTTATCTATTTAAGTAAACCAGAAAGGCTCACTGGATTCCTTGACAGATCCTCAATATGCTCATAATAGAAGTGTATCAGCTGTACACTTAACTATATTGTGCATATCACATTCAATATTCCCTCATCTGAATATAAATCTCTGGATTTCAGGATATTATTATTAACTAACCCTGTTTTCTTAGTTTTGCAGTTCATAGTGACTGATGTTTAGAGAATATGAATGTGAGGAGCTCGGACTAGTGGAACAGAGAGATCCTCTAATGAATCCTGCTCCAAGAGGATAATGTGGTTTCTTTGGTTGTGGTTCATGTTGTGGACATTCTGGAAATGATATGAGGAGTAATTGTGTAAAATGGCTAAAGGAATAAATCTCTTGCGTTTGAGAATTTTTTGGTTGGAATGTATTACTTGCGAATCTCTACAAGGGAAGGGGTCACTGTAAAAGCCACAGAGGAAAAACGTTGACAAATCAACGTTTAATCCAAGTAGAACATATTCCCATTTCCACGTGGAGCCTACGTATATTCTCAACGTTTACTCAACGTTGACAAATCTACGTTTATTCTACGTAGATGATATTCCCATTTCCACGTCGAATCTAAGTGTACTCTCGACGTTTACTCAACGTCTCCAGGTCGATATATCTACGTATATTCAACATATATTCAACGTTGCTGTGCCACACGGGTAAAGACGTGTAGCTGTCAAAGGAATTCATTCAGCTGATTCGGCTGTTGCACAATTGGCTGTGACTCAACAAACTCAGTCAGTTGAATGGCATTTGGAATTGAGACGCGAATACAATGACAATTCCAAAAACCACAGGTATGGCCATGCAAATTCTCAGGCGTTAATAATGGGCGAGGTGGCCAGAAATGAGGTCGAAAAGCACTATGAACACATTCCTGCGAATAGTAAATAATAAAACATTATTTCTATTTTAATTTCATCCCAGTCCAAGATTTCTGGAGTTCCCATTGGGAAATCCATGTACATTTTCTGAAAATGTTGACTGATTTCTTCGAGAAGATATGTCTGGGCGATGAATATTTCTCGATAAGTGAAGCTTTGCTTCTCTGGCGAATTCAGTGAAGTATTCATAATAATGGAATATAACTTGCTTCAACATTTCCAAACTCTTGCTTTGGTTTCGAAACCGAAGTAGGCGACTTTGCAATGTGGAAGATTTGGAGGAAGGGGGAGCCAAAGTGCCCCAAAAAATCCAAAATCCGGGTAACGAAACGAAAGGGACGGACCGAAGCTTTTATTCGCGATCAACTGCATTTCCTTCAACCGGAACGCGTTAAATCCAGGTGGAATAATCGCCTGCCATTGGAGGATTCATCTTGATGCAGAATGTTTCAAATACATTCGGATCCAGATTGTGAAAGTAAAGACCATTCTCGCAGGATCCAAAGGTATGCTCAAGAAGGTCTGCTTCGAGCATCAGCCAGGCCATGCTGCAGTCGCACCGGATGGGATTCCCTGCATTTCAACAGAGGAATAGTAGGATATCATGAATACTAGGGGGGGAAATATTTCCCTTTCTCTAATATAATTCTCCAAATTTAGCATAAACGTTTACATACTTTCCTTCAGAGAAACAAGGCCTATCACGATTTAATATTTTAAAAAAAAGATCTACAAGATTAGTTCAGCCCCCAAGTGGGTTGCGTACATTTGATGATTTTACGCGGAAAATTATGACCTCATGGTACCACATATAAAGTCCAGCAAAGTGATCTCACTTGGTCCGTGCTTCTGCTAATTAATTCTCGAATGTCTCACCGATCAGGCCTGATCGCAAAAAAAACCCAGGTATTTCAATCGATAATCAGAGGACGCAGCAGAAACCATCCATTCAAAATCGCCTTCGCCCCATTCCCCACCGGTCGCCGGACTCACTGTCGAGAGAGACGTATCCGTTCCCGGATGAGAAGACCTCCAGCATCGGACGGAAGACCTCCTCCGTCACTTCGGTGATCAGGTTATCGAGCAGGATTATGTGACTGTTCGCCGTGAGACCTGGAGCAGACACGAGTCGACGTGAAGCGGATGCCAAACTTCATTTCAAGGCCGATTTGCAAAAACAATATTTTTGTTCCATTTTGGGGACATTTGAAGTTCGAATCTACCCATTCAAAATCGGCACAATTACGTCATCGCCGAGTTTAAGCCCGAAATCCTCTTGGCGATGAAAAAAAACTTCTAATGAAGTTATGATGACCAGCCGAATCCATGTTCCAACCGAGACTTTGAATGACCCACTTTTTTGTGAATATGAGAACAATAAATTATATTCAGGCAATAGGAAAAACGATGACCCTAGTCACGAATGGCATAGAGAGGGAGAAAGAGGTATTTTTATTTGTCATTTTTTGCCCTGTTCCTCGCTTCAACTTAACTTGATATAACCATGAACGTAATATCAACTTAATTAAAATGTGTACATAATATTAATCATCTTAATGTGAACTTCATAAAAACAATGTCAATCAGAGCATCATCTAAATATGAAAAACAGTCGGAAGGCGCCTCACTCAGAGTGGCGATTAAAACTTGTGAATTGGGGGGAATATTTTCGGACAAGTCCAATCGAAATTCTTTCGCAAATGTTGGGAAGAAGGGAAGAACTGGGAAGAAATGTTTGCTCGGTCCCCAGCCGGGAGTCCGAATTCATAGCACGGAAGTGCCGCAGCTGTCATTCGAGTCAAGGATTCCTCTCCGCCCGTTATGTAACGTTATATCGTTTTTTATTTTAATTCCCTGTCTCCTTACTTCTACCGTGTGTAAGCGTGCGTTCACTTTGCGGTGAGGGGAGGAACAGCACTCTTCTCATGGTCGCTTTTTTAAATTATACCATCAGGTTTATTTTAGCATTTGGTTCATATTTCGATTGGGTTTAGCTTTATATAGTTTATAAACTAATTTTGAACTCGAGATACAATTGGGTGATTAAGCACGTTCATTTCGCGTTTTTTTCTATGCATTTAGATTAAATTTAGGCCAAGTTTTGTATTTATATATAGAATATGTTTAGTAGCAGTGAGGAACACGCCCCTGAATTGGCAAACAAGCACATCTCACCTACTACCAATCGCTCCCGCGATTATGACTCTTTCTGTTCTATACCATGAAGGGAAAAAAAATTATGAAAGACGGATTTTCGCACGAGGTTGGACGCTGAATTAAGTTCTTCCAAATGACGCGGCTTCAGATCTAGTAAGCATGATTGCACTTAAGCAGGATGATGAACACGAATTGCAATGCGAATTCGGGCTTCCCCCGGTCCCGATGCATCACCGCATACTTTCAGCGAATCCGATTCGTTTTGGCCTCGAAATTACCTGAGAAGGCTCCGACCTCCACGGTCGCGATGTTGTTTCCATCCAAGAACAATAGATCCAGATCTTGACTGTCAAATTCTAGCGACCCGGAATGAAGAGTCGGCCCGAGGTTGCAGTCTGAGCAGTAGAACATCGCCAACTTCTCGAAGCCAGAGAGAAACCCAGCCGGCAACTCTGACACGGGATTCCCATCTGCAGGAACGTGGAAAAGGTTCATCCGGAAGTCTAGCCTGGGGAGACTTCGTCTTTCGATTAACTTCATATTTAATCGCCACCCTTGCTATTTTTATTTCCTCATGAGATCGTTCCAAAGGCATCATTTTGAAAATAAATATATTATTTCACTTACTCTCCAACCCTGACCGACTCCATGTTTGCGCCGATTGAACTTGCCTTTTTCCGGCATGTACAGTAAGTTTATTTCCACAAATTTGCCGGGAAGGCTATACCGAAAAAAAAACAGGGATTCCTAAAGAGTGGTCTCACCCATGTCCAGATGTTAGAGGTTGGGCACGGACCAGCCGCCTTCCACAGAAGAGATGCGATTGTCCCGGAGGATGAGGTACTGTAGGGTGTCGCTCTGCAGCGCCGGCAGCGCCGTCAGCGCGTTCCCGTTGAAGTCGAGGCGCGTGAGCGCGGCCATCTGCGGGAGGATGTGCCAGGGGAACTCCCCGAGCCGGCCGAACCCGAACGACGCATCCACGAGCCGATCCCTCGAGGGAAGCAGGGCCGACGGGCGGATGGCGACCAGGTTCGGGGCGTCGTAGACGTTCACGTACTAGAAGGAGATGTCTCCGAAGATGCCTTTCTGGAGCACCGTCACCGCCTCGTTACTCCACACGTTCAGTTTCCTGCAAGAATGAAGGAACATGGAAGCACGAAATTAAAGAGATTGCAACTTTGATTTTGTATGCAGGGATAAAATTGTGTATCGTCTATGATTCGCCAATTGATTTAGCATGCAATCCTAACTGATATAAGGCTTTTGTTCTTGGTGCAATTCTATGTTTAGAGCTTTATGTGCAGAAATGAAATCATCCTAGTCTTCATTTTGTCCCTCTTCTGCACAATATTCGAAATCTCGCGATTCTGTTCGCCTGCAGGCTGTCCTTCCAGGGTCCTCCATTGTCACACTCTGTAACGGCAGAATTCGGAAGGAAAAATATGAAACCATATAAAAGGACGTTGGGACGGCCTGTATTTATATCGGGAACGGGTAAAGAATCAAGTCATGGAAGTTGCCTTCGTCACGTAAATCGGCGGGGGAAATTTTGCATAATTCTCGGACAACATGACCAGACAATGATTCTCATATGGAAAATGTTCATATAATTTCCTGGAGACGGTCTCATGACATTCTAATGAAAGTATAATAATACGCATCCCATAATGAAACCAAAAAAAAAGGTTTTGAGGGTGTCATTAATCACAATTTCCTTATTCGAGGTTGTATTCGAGATGGAAAAAGGCAAACGGACTCACGTGAGCTTCGAGAACCAGGTGGCGTCGTTGAAGGCGGAGAAGATTTCGTCCGGCGTCGCCGCGGAACAATCCGCCGTGATCTCCATCCTTCCCTCGTCGTAGGAGCAGGTGCAGGGGGAAATGTCCTCGGGATCGGGGCAGGGGAACTGCCCCGACGTCCCGGGGAGCGAGGAGGTCAGGAGGCAGAGGAGGGAGAGAGCGTGGAGCTTTTCCATCGTGGAGGAAAGGAATGGAGGCGAGCATGGACCTGGACCGCGTTTTTCGTCTTTTTATTCCCCGCGTCTTCCTGATGAGAAAGAGACCAGGTGTTCGTTAGGTGCCAGTACGTAATGTCTGTTTTTCGAACGAGGGATTTTCCCTCGTGACATGACAGATGGTTTTTGAGAGTTCTACGAGCCACATCAGTGACATCTTCTTTCGAGCCGCCAACATCGTAAATCAAGCCAAAAAAGAATACCACGTTTGCAACCGACCTGGCTTTCACGTTCTGGTCGTGTTCTGCCGACTTCTGACTCGGGCAAATCCTCGGTAGCGCACCCATGTCGTGCCACCGTAGAAATGACACGTTTGCGATGTCCCCAGTAGCACCGCAATCTTTGATCGATTTCGATTGCCAAGGAAGATACCGGCTGAGGCAATAATAACGCTCTTAGAAATACTGCTCCGCCTCTGAAACGGCAACTGAAACAATGAACTTTCTTTCATACACCTCTATGGATCCTTTCAGCATCCGAAAATATTTCCCGTTACTCTCAAGCCATTTCGGCACACATTCAAGCGATTCTACAAATGCAACTGGAATTGATTTTTGCACTCACACCTGGACGCAGGCGGCAGGACCTGCTCCACTCATAGGGAATGACAATTCTTTTCGTCTTTTCCCCTCTGCAATTCAGAATCCTCTGAGTAGATCTCTGACTCGTCCTTACGTGAGGCAATTTGCAGATGAGAAATTTGCATCCCATGATTATGATGAAGAGAAACAACGACATACTCCCCGTTAACGCAGTTTTCTTCAGTTCCGACTAATTTTAGTCTTCCGCTTCCACCCTTCCTCCCAGATAAAAAAGTATTTTCCACGACCCTGGGGAGATGGAGCTTCAAATTTGTTGAAGCTATTCCGTGTTCAGGGAGGAAGAAGCGTGCCAAATTTCGTCGCTGTTGATGCTCTCAGAGAAGAATAAGAGGAAGCTAAATTTTATGTTGGGAAGGTCTTGAAGAAAGGTTATAGGGGCTAAGAAAGCCACCGATTCATTATGGACAGCGTCCTTCCCTTGAGGAGGCACATTCATGCGGAATGGTGGTTACCATGAGGGAGGAGATTCCCAGGGACATGGCAGGTCGTTCTTCTCGATCTCCATTCCGCGATCTTTTCCTCATCGTACCGAGAAGCGTGAAGAGGGGGAGAGGGGGGGGGGCGCTCTCGTTCTCTCTCTCTCGTATTCACTTCAACGTTTATGAGTCGTAGTTTCTTCCGAGAAAAGAAAATTCAGAAGTCTGTGATGCTTCGCATCGAAAATGTTTCTTCCGATTTGTGGCCAAAGACGGTGGAATCATGAACAGAAACCTATTGGATATGTCATGCACTTCCTCATGCTACGTCGGTAAGATGAGGATTCGCAACCTTAGTTCCAATTTGCAATATCGCTACGTTTTTCATTATGACTTGCAGTGAAGAGCAAAAAAAGAATCGTTTCCGCTCTAACACTTCTGCTTTAAAAAGCTATGAAAGTCGTGGCATTGATAGATCAGATTTTCGAATGCGAGTTCGTCCAGGATATAAAGAGGAAACTCCTGGAAATTGCAGCGAGACCGACTGAAGGACTCTGGGAAAGGCGAGACGCACCCAAGCAACCGAGTCCTGGAAGCTCGGAACCGCGTCATGATGTCTGGCGTGAGGTCTCCGCTAAGAAGGCTCCCATCGGGCGGTGCATCGCTTTATCGCTCGGTTACAAAATGAGCTGCTCCGGAGCGATGACCTGACTGCTCTCATTGGGCATGCGCGGGTTATGCGCATGCGTGTCTCGCATGCGCGTGAGCTTCCCTTGCACCTGGAATGGACGGTTGCTCCCGTGTCAAAATTACCGTGAACTTCAGTCACATACCTAGATTGGAAAAGCAATGAATATTTTCCGATGATACCCAACCGGCGAGCTTGGTGGGATTCCTCTTTGCAAGTTCGGAAGTCGAGGAACTCGTCATACAGACTTTCTATTCGAACCGAATGCGCTTCCACCCTTCCCCATGTATATGGGGATTCCCTCTCGTACAATCGCTTGCATATTACGATTCGCTAACGTCCCAAACTGAACGCTATGGGGTATATAGGATCCTATAGGATTTCTTTAGGTTCCTATATAATATTAAAGGAATATATAGGAATCCAATAAGACATTTTCGCAAGGGGCAATAACACCCACTTCCTTCAATGACTGAGGAGGAAGGAACGTGTTCATGAGAATGGCGGAAGTCTACATCTCCATCTGGGGGTGGGTAGGAAGAAGACACATAAATTCATAACTTCTTAGTTTCAAGGCGATAATTCCAATTCGACTGTATAGAACTTCATCGTTATTTTACACTAGCGAATTTGTTTCCCCTTCGGGCAAACAAACTCGCTATGGTCGAGCCTTCGGCGCTTCCTTACCTTGGATTGTGATTAATTCATTCATTTTTTGCGAAATGGGAAACACGTATTTAAAGTATGTCCCCATTGACACATTGTGTCCGTTTTTGAAAGGGTGGAGAATACATTTTGGAAAACTTCCCTCCAATAATCTACGCTGAGGATACATTTTTCAAAATTACGATTTCTCCTCTACTCAGCCATCAGAGTACCTGTTTGATGGTGAACTTCTGAAGGAAGTTTAAATTTCCTGTCTCTGTTTCGTTAGATCAAAAAAAAGTCAGGAAAATGGGACTGAAAAAAGTGCACTAATGGTGTTAGCGAATTTTTATTATTAATTTGAAATGTAGACTCATGGAACTCCATTGGGAGGATGTGCCAGGGGAAGTCCCTGAGCCGGCCGAACCCGAACGACGCATCCACGAGCCGGTCCCTCGAGGGAAGCAGGGCCGACGGGCGGATGGCGACCAGGTTCGGGGCGTCGTAGACGTTCACGTACTGGAAGGAGATGTCTCCGAAGATGCCTTTCTGGAGCACCGTCACCGCCTCGTTACTCCACACGTTCAGTTTCCTGCAAGAATGAAAGAACATGGAAGCACGAAATTAAAGAGATCGAAACTTTGATTTTGTATGCAGCGATGAAATTGTAAACGAAATCAAGTATACCCGGACCTCTCTCGCCGAGGCCATCGCCTATAATTCGCCAATTGATTTAGCATGCAATCCTGCTAGAAGGTTTTTGTTTTTGGTGTGATTCTATGTTTACAGCTTCATGTGGAGAAATGAAATCATATTAGTCTGGATTTTGTCCCTCGTCTGCACAATATTCGAAATCTCGCGATTCTGTTCGTCTGCAGGGTGTCCTTCCAGGGACCTCCATTGTCACACTTTGTAACTGCTAGCAAGGAAAAATATGAACCATGTAAAAGGACGTTGGGAGGGCCTGCATTTATATCGGGAATGAGAAAATAATCAAGGCATGGAAGTTGCCTTTCTCGCGTAAATTGGCGGGGGAAATTTTGCATAGTTCTCGGACAACATGGCCAGACAACGATTCTCACATGGAAAATGTTCATATAATTTCCTGGAGACGGTCTCATGACATCCTACTGAAAATATAGTAATACGCATCATATAACGAAGCCATAAAAATTAGGTTTTGAGGGTGTAATTAATCACAAATTCCTTATTCGAGATGGAAAAAGCAAAACGGACTCACGTGAGCTTCGAGAACCAGGTGGCGTCGTTGAAGGCAGAGAAGATTTCGCTCGGCGTCGCCGCGGAGCAGTCCGCCGTGATCTCCAGCCTTCCCTCGTCGTAGGTGCAGGTGCAGGGGGAAATGTCCTCGGGATCGGGGCAGGGGAAATGCCCCGACGTCCCGGGGAGCGAGGAGGTCAGGAGGCAGAGAAGGGAGAGAGCGATCAGCTTTTCCATCGTGGAGGGAAGGAATGGACCTGGACCTGGACCTGGACAGCGTTTTTCGCCTTTTTTATTCCCCCCCGTCTTCCCGTATGAGAAAGGGACCAGGTGTCGCGATTTGTCAGGTGGCATTACGTAATGTCTGTTTTTCGAACGAGGGAATTTCCCTCGTGACTCGACAGATGGTTTTTAGGAGTTCTACGAGCCACATCAGCCATATCATCCTTCGAGCCGCGAACATCGTAAAACAAGCCAAAAAGAATAAAAAAATTCTCCCATGATTGCAGCCGACCTGGCTTTCACGTTCTGGTTGCGTTCTGCCGACTTCTGACTCACACAAATCCTAGGTCGCGCACCCATGTCGTGCCAACGTAGAAATTACGCTTGCAATGTCCCCAATAGCACCACAATCTTGAATCGATTTCGATTGCCAAGGAAGATACCGGTTGAAACAAAAAAAAAACGCTCTTCGAAATGCTGCGACGCCTCTGAAACGGCAACTGAAATAATGAAGTTTCTTTCATACGCACCTCCATGGATCCTTTGAACATCCGATAAAGTTTCCAAGTGTACACAAGTGATTCTACAAATGCAACTTGAATTGATTTTTGCACTCACACCTGGACGCAGGCGGGAGGACCTGCTCCACTCATAAGGAATGACAATTATTTTCAGGTTTTTTTTCCCTCTGCAACTCAGAATCCTCTGTGTAGATCTCTGGCTCGTCCTTACATCTGGCAATTTGCAGATGAGAAATTTGAACCCATGATTATGATCAAGAGAAACAACGACATCTTCCCCGTTAACGTTTATTTCAGTTCCGGCTAGTTTTAGTCTTCCGCTCCTACGCTTTTCCCAGATAAAAAAAAATGCTCTCCACAACCCTGGGAAAATGAAGCTGCAAAATTTGTTGAAGCTATTCCGTGTTGAGAGAGGACGCAGCATACCAAATTTACTTTTTGTTGATGCACTACGAGAGGAATACGAGGAGGCTGAGATCGTGGTGGGAAGGGATTGAAGAAAGGCAATAGGCGCTACCAAAGCCTATTCATTATGGACAGCGTTCTTTCCTAGAGAAGGCACTTTCATGCGGAAGGATGGTTACCATGAGGGAGGAGATTCCAGGCACTCGGGAGGTCGCTCCTCTCGACCTCCATGCCGCCGCGATCTATTCCTCATCGTGCCGACTGGCGTGAAGAGGGCGAAGGGAGGGGAGAGCCGCTCTCGTTCTCTCTCCCTCTCTACCGATCGCTACCGCCAGCCACTCGACGCAAGAACCTCCTTTCTGCAGCTCGTATCCACGGTCTGGTGCTTTCGGTCGTTACCCAAAGTTCGTGACCATAGGTGAGGGTGGGGAGATAAACACTCTTAAAAAC